CCCTCTTCTCGTCCCTCGTGCCGTCGGGCTGCGATCTGCGCAACTGTCGCCACTTTCGTGGGCTCCCGGGAGGCCCAGCGGAGGTGGATCCCACGCGGATCACTTCGGTACCTCGCCGCCCCTTTGGGGGGCTTGCGATCTGCGCAATTGTCGCCACGTTCGTGGGCTCCTGGGGGCCCAGCGGAGGTACGTCATACGCTGATCACTACGGGACCTCGACGCCCGTGGGGGGTTGCGATTTGCGCAACTGTCGCCACTTCGGTGGGCTCCTGGGAGGCCCAGCGGAGGTAGATCCCACGCGGATCACCTCGGTACCTTGCCGCCCCTTGGGGGGTTTGCGTTCTGCGCAACTGTCGCCACTTTCGTAGGTTCCTGGGAGGCCCAGCGGAGGTAGGTCCCACGCGGATCACCTCGGGACCTCGACGCCCCCTGGGGGGCTTGTGATCTGCGCAGCTGTCGCCACTTTCGTGGGCTCCTGGGAGGCCCAGCGGAGGTAGGTCCCACGCGGATCACCTCGGTACCTCGCCGCCCCTTTTGGGGGGCTTGCGATCTGCGCAACTGTCGCCACTTTCGTGGGCTCCTGGGAGGCCCAGCGGAGGTACGTCCCACGCGGATCACCTCGGTACCTCGCCGCCCCTTTGGGGGGCTTGCGATCTGCGCAATTGTCGCCACTTTCGTGGGCTCCTGGGGGGCCCAGCAGAGGTGGGTCCCACGCGGATCACCTCGGTACCTCGCCGCTCCTTTGAGGGGCTTGCGATCTGCGCAACTGTCGCCACTTTCGTGGGCTCCTGGGATGCCCAGCGGAGGTACGTCATACGCGGATCACCTCGGTACCTTGCCGCCTCCTGGGGTGCCTGCGATTTGCGCAATTGTCGCCACTTTCGTGGGCTCCTGGGAGACCCAGCGGAGGTGGGTCCCACGCGGATCACCACGGTACCTCGCCGCCCCCTGGGGGGCTTGCGATCTGCGCAACTGTCGACACTTTCATTGGCTCCTCGGAGGCCCAGCAGAGCTACATCACCTCGGTACCTCGCCGCCTCCTGGGGGCTTGCGATCTGTGCAATTGTCGCCACTTTCGTGGGCTCCTGGGAGGCCCAGCGGAGGTGGGTCCCACGCGGATCACCTCGGTATCTCGCCGCCCCTTTGGGGGGCCTGCGATCTGCGCAATTGTCGCCACTTTCGTGGGCTCTTGGGAGGCCCAGCGGAGGTACGTCCCACGCTGATTACCTCGGTACTTCGCGGCCTCCTGTGAGGCTTGCGATCTGCTCAACTGTCGCCACTTTCGTGGGCTCCTGGGAGGCCCAGCGGAGGTACGTCCCACGCGGATCACCTCGGGACCTCGCCGCCCCTTTGGGGGGCCTGCGATCTGCGCAATTGTTGCTATTTTCGTGGGCTCCTGGGAGGCCCAACGGAGGTACGTCATACGCGGATCACCACGGGACCTCGCCGCTCCTGGGGGGCTGCGATTTGCGCAATTGTCGCCACGTTCGTGGGTTCCTGGGAGGCCCAGCGGAGGTACGTCATACGCAGATCACCGCGGGACTTCTTGCTGCGCTCTCCTGAAAGCATTGTTGGGTGCTCTTTCTGCGCAATGCGGGTCCTTCAGAATGCCAGTCAGCATTGAGTGGTCCTGAGCATAATCGCCACATGGATAGAAAGGGTTGGTACGTGGCAGGGCAATTCATGTTGTCTTCAAAAATCCGACTGTTGGCGGACACGCCCGACCTGACAGGAGCATGAGGGCGAGGAGGCGGCGGGGCGCAAGCTGCAGCGTGCGCGCATTCGTGTCGCTTGCCGGCGGCAGAGTGCGTTGTGTCTCCGGGCCGACGAGGGGCTTCCGCGTCGGAGGCCCCCGCCGAAGCAGCCGGAACACCTGGCCAGGGTGCCAGGAAGCAGGCAGGAAATGACTTCGGCACGCCGAAACGGCCACTCACACAGTCTCTTTGCACTGCCCCCCGTATCATACGGGTGTCTTTCGGGTTCGCCTTGCTCCCGCCTGTTACTCAGGAGGGGAAGAAACACACAGACACAATTAATCGTCGATTCCCAGGAAAATATTGGAAAATATGGGAAGTGGGGGGGAAGACAAAAACCCAGAAAATATAGGAAAATATGGGGAATTGTTTTATTTGTGTGTATTTATTTGTGTGTCCTGGGGCCCCTTCAATCATACGGGTGTCTTTCGGGTTCGCCTTGCTCCCGCCTGTTACGATCGCCTCGCGCAGAGGACATCTTGTCATCGAAGGCGCTTGCGGCGAATCACGCGCTCGGGGCCCACGCTTCGGCCAGCAGGCGGCGGATGCTCCACGGGTGCGCGCGTGTCTCTTCCACGCTGCAGGATCCTCTGCGTTTGGTCTGCCAGGTTCCCGATGCTCTGACAGGTTTGCCTCTTTGGCGGCTGCACAAGAATTACTAATGGTCATATCGCGGTGGTCATTCACATTCATGTTCGCAACGCCCATAATACGAGTGGCCTCGAGATTGGGACGTTGCGCGTGTTCCGCTTGACTATGAATGGATTAGGTCTTTCTAGTTTGCGCATTGCCGTCTGCAGCGTCTGAAGTAACAGCTACGTGCGATTGTCCCAACAGTGGCCATTTGATCAGGGCTGACGCTTCGCGAGCACGCGATATTTGAGAGAGCGTGATCCACCGCCGCTTTACTGTGGAAAATTGCCGCCCTTTTCCTCCGGAACCCGGGGGTCCCCCCCCCCTCCGAAAATCCCCCCCCCTGCTGGAACCCTTCCCCCCTCCCCCTCCTCCCCCGGCAAAACCCCCCCCTCCCCTAACCCTGCCCCCCCCCTCCCCATCGAAAACCCGGGGGGTCACTACCGGTTCGAACCCCCCCACCCTCGAAAACCGGAGGGGGGGTCACTACCGTTCGTCACCGCCAGCAAACGACTCCCGGTCCCTACCACCGTCCGCACCACATCCCCCACTGTTGTTCCCAGCACCACTGTCCTCACCACCACTGTCCCCACTGGCTCCACCACCGTCCCTACTCTCCCCACCAGTGCCCCCCACCACTGTCGCACTGTCCCCACTGTCCCCACCACTGTTCCCACCAGGGTTCCACTCTCCCCACTTTCTCCACGGCCCCAACCACTGCCCGACTATCCCCACTGTCCCCACTGTCCCACTGACTCCTCCGCTGTCCCACTAAGCTGTCCCACTGTTCCAACCACTGTCCCCACTGTCCGCACCACTGTCCCCACTGTACCTCTGTCCCAATGTCCCACCGCCGTCCTCGCCACCGCCTTCACCCTCCACTGTCCCACTGTTTCCACCTCATTCCCACTGTCCCCACACCACTGTCCCCACCAACACAGTCCCCACCACTGTCCACTGTCCCTACTGTTCCCACCATTGTCCTCACCGCTGTCCCCACCACTACCGTCCCCACCACTGTCCCACTGTCCCCACCACTATCCCGCTGTCCCCTCACCACTGTCCCCATCACCACCGTCCCCACCACTGTCCGCACCCCCGCCTCGGTTTTCGAGGGGGGGGGGGGGTTCGAACCGGTAGTGACCACCCCCGGTTTTCGAGGGGGAGGGGGGGGGGTTCGAACCGGTAGTGACCCCCCCCCTTTTCATAATGAACGGGGGGGGGGGGGGGGCTCGAACCGGTAGTGACCCCCCCCCCGGTTTTCCGGAGGGGGGGGGGAGGGGGGAGGGATTCGAACCGGTAGTGACCCCCCTCCCGGTTTTCCGGAGGGGGGGGGGAGGGGGGAGGGATTCGAACCGGTAGTGACCCCCCCCGGTTTTCCGCCAGCAGCGGTAGAACACGCTCTTTCCGATATTTTGGTTCCAGTTGTCGCCACGTGGCAGTACCCGGTTCGACTGATTTGACAGGATCGTCGTTATCCGTAAGGGTTTCGCCCCATGACGCCGACACCCTGTCTCGGATAATAGGAAATGCAACAGCTGAAATAAGAGGTTTGGGCGCCGCAGTGAAGCAGTGTCGGGACCTGCTTGTTTTTCGACCCTGATCCTACGGATCTGCGTCAGGGGTGCCACCGAATTTCAGAAATATAGCAAATCCTTTATGCTTTTTGGAGTCTGACCCTACGGACCTGCGTGAGGGGTGCCGCCGAATTTCCGAAATGTTGCAAATCCCATGTGTTGTTGGACCTTCACCCTGCCGATCTGTGTGAGGGGTGCCGCCGAATTTCAGAAATGTGACAAATCCTTAGTGTTTTTGGACCCTGACCCTGCCGATCTGTGTGAGGGGTGCCACCGGATTTCGGAAATGTGGCAAATGCCTTTGTTTTTCGGACCCTGACCCCGCCGATCTGCGTGAGGGGTGCCACCGGATTTCAAAAATGTGGCAAATCCTTTGTGTTGTTGGACCCTGACCCCGCCGATCTGCGTGAGGGGTGTCAGCAAATTTAAAACATTGGCAAATCCCACATGTTTTTGAACCCTGACCCCGCCGACATGCGTGAGGGGTGTCAGCAAATTTAAATAATGTGGCAAATCCCTTGAGTTTTTGGGCCCTGATCCCGCCGATCTGTGTGAGTGGTTTAAGGAAATTTCAGGAATGTAGCAAATCCCTTGTGTTTTTGGACCCTGACCCCGCCGATTTGCGTGAGGGGTGCCACCGAATTTCAGAAATGTGGCAAATCCCATGTCCATGTGTTTTTGGACCCTGACCCCGCCGATCTGCGTGAGGGGTGTAGATTTTGACCCACCCCAGCAATTCAGAGCACACGCTCAGGGCGTGCTAAACCTGCCCGTTTGGGCCTCCCCCCCCTCGCGCGGTCCATCAACAAGGAACAGTAAGCAGCAAGAAGCAGAATTGTAACAGTGGAAACTGGAAGCTGCAACTGGTACAGGAAACTGCGAACCTTTGCCCTACAGCCTGGTGGCCCCACAAGGGGGCCGGCGGATTTTTACTACCAGCCTCGCCAGTGCCGGCGCACCCGCCGATCAGGCCTCAATCCCAGCATCATTGACAAATTCGTTCAGGTGGCCATACGATTTATCGTCGCGAGCAGCGATGGCACCACGATCAAAAAAGTGGTTTGTGTTCGGTATCGTTCTTGATGATTGTAAGTCTGCAGCAGGCGGTATGCCTGATGTCGCTGCCGAGAGACAATGGGACCAGTACCTGGCAAGCCCAGGGCTGACGCAGTGTGCTGAGACGACCCACTCGAGGGGAAACGGATGGTGTTGGTGTGACGACGTTGCGCATAAGCTCCAGCTCACATTCGAAAGGTGTTGCCAGGGAGGTCTGGAGTGCTGGTCCGTAGTCGAGAGGAACGGCCATGCGCTGACTTCCGAGCACCGTGGTCGATTCGCCGCCTTGAGGACCAGGGGGGCCCGGGAACGGCCAGAACTGGACTTCCCGGAGGCCGGCAGACGGCCAGACGCGCCAAGAGATTTATGTTGTTTGATAGTTCTGGGAAGTCTGGATGAGGAGGAGGAGGAGGAGGAGGAGGAGGAGGAGGGGGAGGAGGAGGAGGAGGAGGAGGAGGAGGAGGAGGAGGAGGAAGAGGAAGAGATTGTGTTGTTTGATAGTTCTGGGAAGTCTGGATGGCCTGCTTAGCTGTTCCTGGGGCCGTTGGCCCTCAGAGGGGGCCTGCCGACCGCGTTCCGAGCACGCGGGCATCTTCTCCATGGTGAAGTGCTGCGACCGCACCGCCCACACGGCAAACTTCTTCGGCTTCGCGAACCCGACCGTCCACAGGTGCTCTCAGCCCCGAATCATCAGGGGTAACTCGGGTCAGGGATAACTCGGGTTCGTTTTTCGGGAGTCCGAACCCGAGTTACCCCGGACCCGAGTTACCCGGATAACTCGGGCGCCCAAGAGCCCCGAATCATCAGGGGTAACTCGGGTCAGGGGTAACTCGGGTTCCTTTTTCGGGAATCCAAACCCGAGTTACCCCGGACCCGAGTTACCCCGGATAACTTGGGCGTCCAAGGTACTCTCAGGAGCAGGGGGGGACGTGGACGGCGCAGACGATGGATTTCTTGGGGCCTCGCCTGAGCTTGCCGCAGGTCCCGTTCGAACTCTGGGCGCTCGTGCACGACAGCGCAGAGCCGCCGCGGCAGGTAGCGTGGGAGCTCGCGCATTTCGAGAGGCACAGGGAGGAATTCACCGAGGCGTTCGAGGCGAGGCGGGCGATCCATCGGCGCGGCTGGATGCCCTGCTCCGTGCCTTTCGAGAGGTTTGGCCCGCAGGTGGTTCTCGACAATGCCGAGTTGGTGCGGCGCCTCTACTCCGCGCTGGGCAGCAGCGCGGCTGCCAGCTTCATCAACGTCGGCGCCAACGACGGGATCTCGGACGATCCGCTGGGCAATTTGCTTCAGTTCTTGCCCCAGGCGCGAGCCGCGGCAGTGGAGGGGGACTCGTCTCTGTGCGAGAAGCACCGGGCCAATTTGCCTCACGTGCATTTGTGGTGCGGCTTCATCACGCCAGAGAATATCTGGGCCGCCGTCGACCGCTGGCTGCCATCGTGGTCTGAGGTCGAGCAGTCAGACGGACTGGTCCAGGTGGACTTCCTGAAAGTAGACATCGACAGTTATGACTGTGAGGTGGTTGAAGCCTTCCTCTCGGGGACCCGCAGCGCCCGCCTACGCAGAATCTTGAGGCTGCAGCCCAAGATCATCCTCATGGAGGTCAACGACGGATTCCCGCCCCCCGTTCAGTATTCGCTGTTGTTCGATCGAAGCTTGGTAAACACGAGCCTCGAGTCGCACGTCAACTGCTCTGGTAACATCCCGTTGGCGGGGTGTTCCTTGAGCTATCAAGTGGTGCATTTCTACCCATTTGGGTACCGGCTCATTATGTACGGCTCGGGGCAGGCAACGTTCGCCCATCTCTCCGTCCTCGAGGCCATCAAGTCAGCTGGACTGGAAGGGCCCCTCGACGAGTTCGACTGCTATTGGAGCACCCTTCTGGTCGGGCAGTGTGTCAGTGGGCGGCAGATCCGGCGCTGGTCCCACGAGATAGGTGGGCCCGCAGGCACGGAGCAGATCTTGGCAGAGGTCCGCGGGCATCTCCTGGAGACGGAGCGGCGCTTCTCGCTGCCAAGGATGCGGATGGCCTTGGAGGTGTGACGCGCGAGAAGAAGCTGCAGTCGGAAATGGCTCCACGTGAAGCTCGAAGACTGGGAGCGGACTGATCTCGGCCCCCATGCTGCTGAGATGACGCATCACACGTTTTTGTATCACTCAGAAGCCAGGCGAAGGCTGGCAAACCCGTGGCTGCTAAAACGGAGCTCCGGGGATTGCTTTTTTTCCTTCCGGGAAGCAGCCCGTGTACTATCTAGTGCGTTGAGTTTCATTCCGGAAGAGTATGTTTTCTTTCTTCTGGGAAGACCGTTTTACCAGCCCTCGCCCAGCTTCCGAATGACTACCAGTTGTCATGAACCAAAAGCGGGTGATGCTTCGTCTCAGCGGTGTGAGAGTTGGCGTTGGGGCTCCCAGGCCTGAGGCACTCATGGCGCCCAGTTTTTTTCCTGATCCTCTGGGCCTCCGAAGGCCCGATCGAGCCCCGGGACCGTCGACAAGCAGCCAGCGACGGGTTCGGCGGTTCCCAGGGACAGGGTCGAGAGTTTTTTCGGCCGGCGTCGTGAAACACCATGCCGTTGGCGTGTTCCGAAGAAGAAGAAGAAGAAGAAGAACAATGAGAAGAAGAAGAAGAAGAAGAATAAGAAGTAGCACTTGCGTAAACATAGGTTCTCGGAGGTCCGTGTGGATTTCTTGGATCGGCGCTGGACCGCGCGGAACGCGGCAGGGGAGGCGCCAGAGGCTCCGCCAGGAGAGGTCCAGCGCCGACCCCAGAAGTCCTCGCGGAATTCCGACAGTTTGTTTTTTGGCTCCACTGGATCGAAGTCTCGCTTGTTTAGAGAAACTCGTCAGCATCAGTTCATCAACCCCTTATCCAATGATGAGATCCACAGGTCATCAAACGATTTTGATGGCAAAATCGCAAACAAGACGTGGAAGATCATGAGGGAGGCGGGCTTTCGATGGCGAAGATGGTAGACTGCACGTCGCGGCGTGGCGGTTGCACGGACGTCAGCAAAGCAGCGAGCATGCGGAGGAAGTTTGGCGACAATGGGGAAACATAATGTCGCATGGGGACAGTTGCGTGGTCGTGGGGAGGGTTAACTTGACATGGGGTAGATGGGACTGACGCGAGGAAGCTGGGAAGGCCACGGGGAAGTTGGGAATAACGTGTGGAGGGTAGGACGGACATGAGGGAGCTGGGAAAGGCGGGGGGTATGCGGGAGGAAGTTGGGAAGGGCATGGAGGAACTCACAAGGACATGGGGAGGGTAGCGGTTTTAGCCAGACAGGCCCCAGAGCCCCCAGCCTGAACCGGACGGGCTCCAGAGCGCCCGGGCCTTTGCCGCACGGGCCCCGGGGCCCTCTGGCCCTGCCAGGCAGGCCTTGGAGCTCTTCCTTTCGCAGGACGGGCCCCAGAGCTCCCCGGCGCGAGCCAGACGGTCCCTGGCCCCCCCCCGCCGTAGCCGGACGGGGCCCCACTGGCGAAGCGCCACGTTTCCTGCCTTGCCTCGGACGTGCCCGAGAAGCCCAGGCGCGAGCCCTGGATGACCCGTGGATCTCATCAACCTGTCCCCATCCCCAGTGTGGGGGGCAAGTCGGCCAGTGGGGCCCAGGCCACGCCCATGGGGACACAGTGGAAACCCATGCCAGGAGGCACCCTGCTTGCCTCCAGGGTGCTCCGTGTTTCGTGGGTTTCGGTGGTTTTGCTATGGAAAGCGTGTGACGTTCAGGCGCAGGTGTACTGCACAAGTGCTGAGTGCGCCAGGCCACGTCGCATCGAGTGCGCCAGGGCACACCGCATGAGCGTCGCCATTTCCTGAGGTCCGCGCGGACCTCTTTGCTCAGCGCAGGGCGCCCCCCCCCCCGGGCCTCCCGCGCCGCCCTCATTCAGAGGGTGAATTACCTACCCCGCTTTCGCTTCCAGGCAAAACCAAGCCATACCATGCGCCTCCTCGTCAAGCAGCCTGACCAGTACAGGCTGCAATTTGGCATCGTTTGGTATCTCTTGGAAGCGACGGTGGTCAAAAGCGAGGTAGGTTTGTTTTCCCCCTACTCATGGCGCGCTCCGCGCCAGGGGAGAGAGAGGCCCGCCGCCGCTGCGAGAGGTCCTCGCGCAGGCCTCTTGGAGCTGTGGCTCGTGCGGGTGCGACTTCGCTTCCACGGCGCCTGGCGTTCGGGGCCGATCGCGGAGCGCAGCGGGCATCCCTCGAGTCCCCCGTGCCCGCGGGGAGGCGACGGCTTGCTGCGCCATCGAGGGCGTTCGCGGGAGTGCGGGGGGGGGGGGAGGAGGAGGAGGGATGAGGAGGAGGAGGAGGAGGAGGAGGAGGGATGGGGGGGGGGGGGCGGACGGTCGCCGCGCTGAGATCCACCTGGGAGCCATGGTCGGGTCAGAGTTCCAGGAGAGGTCGGGGGGCCCTTTTTGTGCGGGGGGGAGGGTGGGAACAGGTGCCAGGCTGGGAGGGTGAGGCGGAGAAGGGAGGAGGAGAGGAGGCGGAGAAGGAGGAGGGGGCCGCCGATGTCAAGAGGTCAGAGGAGGGCACATTGGTTGTGGACGTTCGGATCTCATCGCGGCTTCTAGGGCCAGGGACTCCAACGTATCTCACCTACCATGCCACCCCCACCGTGCCTCTTGTTGGGTGTGACTTGGGGACCCATATGTTATATCCTCATGCAAAGAGCTCACTACCTTAACAATATTGGCCTGAGGGGTTGGCCCAGAGGGTCGGTCAGAGTTGGCCAGAGGTTGGTTGCGGTAAATCTGCGGATTCGAGGACCAGGTACCCCAACAGCTCCCACCATGGCACCCCCACCATGCCTCTTGCTGAGTGGGACTTGGAGACCAATCTGCTACATCTCCTGGAACGTATTAACTATCCTAACCAGGTTGGCCTGAGGGGTTGGCTGGGAGGCTCGGGCAGAATTGGCCAGAGTTTGGTGGCTGTTGACTTGCGGGTTGACCGGGGCCATTCTTCGACAGGGTCGTGCGGTTCGCCAGCCCCGTGGCTGGAAATCTTGAAGCATCCAATTTGTCGATAGTTGCTTGCGTCTATAATGAAAACATACTCGACAGGTAGTCCGTTCCACAATTCCTGGGTCCTTCACCGTTCCGCTCGCCTCTTCTTTCGAAGGTGGCGAGGGAGGGGAATCGGAAGGAGGGTGAGGGAGGGGGTGGCACGAAAAAGACGGCAGAAGCTCTCCCTGCTTCGAATTTCTAGTAAGCTTATTGCAAGAGGCCCAAGCCCTTCTAAGAAGACGTTTGCCCTCTAAGAACCCCCCGCCTTCTCAGAAAACCCGGTCGCCACCCCTTTCTGTGCGCGTCGCCAGAATGTTTTGGACGCTTCCCAAAAAAATGGCGAATGGTCAGAGCGCGACAAGATTGGACACACATGTGAATACTGTAAGCGTGATGTGCGCGGGATCGTTTGCGCTGGTCATACAACATGTTCGAGTTGCTTTGGGAATTGCCAGCGCAGCCCAGTCCGCAAGATCAATTAGCTCTTGACTGCATGTAAGTATAGCATCCGCCTCGCAATTCTATACCGCGGGGACGCGATCGAGAGTTTGATTGGTGCTACTCGCGCGTCAGAGATGCCACCCTCCGCAATGCGCTTGTAACATTTGTGTAGGCAGCGGGCGCACAGTGAGGCGACGCACATCGCATATCAGAGCAGCAGAACATTGACAGTGTTAATCGTCCGAGCGTGGACACGTGCAGATCCTTCTTCAGTGTGTCAGTCGGGCGGCTCTTGCAGATATCGCAGATCTCGGTGCTTCTAAAATGATGCTTCCAGTCGTTCTACTTCCCGGCCATGGCTACTGTGAAGGACTTTCTCGTTGTTTGCAGAAAGCATAATGTTTTGCATACGATGTGTTCTTGTTGTGTCCTTGTTGGACATATCATCTTCGTTGATGGGCTTGTTCCAACCGAACGTGCCTGGACGGAGATAATCGGATGGGAGAGGCGTTTTGGCTGTGGCCATGTAGATTTGATAGATCCTCGTGCCCAGTGCTTCTTGGAGGCGCTCACTGTCCTACCAGGTCTTGTCAATGGATTTGCGTATCCCGTATCCGCCGATATCTTTCATTATTACAGTTGGTGGTTGGTGTTTTAGTGTGACGCGTCTTCCTCATAGGCCTCGTTGCTCTTCTCCCTACCCCTTCATCCTCATGCTCCCCTTCCCTCCCATCCAAACCTCTACCAGTTCTTTCCCTCCTTCCCACCTCCGCCATTGTCTTTTGCTCCCTCAGTCTTTCCCCCGCCCTCCCGCGTTCCAGGTCGTCTCTGCTGCCAGTGCTCGTTGTCGTTTGTTGGTTGTCGTCGCTGCAACTTGTTGCTGCTTGTTGTTGCGGCCGATTGGCTCTGCTGCTGCCTGCTGCTGCCTGCTGCTGCTGTGCTGCGGCTGCTGTTGGCCTCTACGGCTGGCTCTGCTTTCGGTGGTTGTGCTGCTATTTTGCACGGATTCCTGAGAAGGTGGAGCCTCTCTTCGGAAATTGGAACGTATACATTACCAGTGCCAGCTTGTTGTTCAATCCCAGGACTTCTTGAGGGTTGGGGCGACGTTTGGGTGGTGTGGTGTATATTGTTTCCCCGCTTCCTAGGGAAGCAACGCAATACACCAGGATCCCGTATACACCAGGATCCGCTTTCGCGTGCAAGTGTCAGTGCAGGGCTGGAAGAAATCGTCGGTGCATAGAGCTTGCTTCCCTAATCTCTGGGCGGGACACACATCGGGGCGTCTTGGGGCGCGTCTTGGGCGGTTCAGCACATCACGACCGGTTGCAGCAGCGTTTTGCCCCACCTGTCCTCGGCGCGGCGCCTCGTCGCCCCCCTGCTGCAGTGCCCCCCCCCCCCGGCACCTCGTGTTGCATGCCGCCGGTCCGTTTGTCCGGGATGAGCTCTGGGGGCATTTTCGGTTGTCTTCGGGTCTTCTGGGGCTCCTTTAGTGGCGTGGCCCTCTTGGTCGAAGACGCATGCGGCGAATCGTCGCCGCCCCCTGCCTTTTTGGAAGCGCCTGTGTGGCCGAACTCTGCGGCCAGAGATCGGCCAAGCAATCGGACGATGTGCTGCCCTTGCCGCTGTGGAAGCCCTTCGAGGAAAACGTGGGGGAACATGAAGAGGAGGAGATGGAGGAAAAACGAGGAGGTGGCTTCTTGGGAGCCTATTGGGCCACTCTTGGGGTCTCATCGGGAATTCTTGAGAGCCTCTTAGAGGCCTCTTGGGGCCCACCTTGGGCCTCGGGGACTTCTTGGCGGCCTCCTTGGCAGTCTTCGGGTGTTCCTGGCCGAGGAGCACGGCAGAACACACAGAATACGAAGGAGCACGGCAGAACACACAGGAGCACGGCAGAGCACGCAGGCGCATCCGTAGCCATTTTGGCTCAAGCGAGCCTGGCTGGCGGCAGGCCCTCGGGCGCGCGCGCTCGCTAGCGGCCATGGGGCATTCTGGATGCGGGGCAGCCTGGGCGGCAGCCTCCGCCCGCACGCTTGCGCGGCGGCTGCGGCGGGTGCATCGGCGTGCCATCGGGGAGTCGCGGGCGGCGGCGCTGGCGTGGCGTGCGGCTGCCCTCCGCCGTTCCCTGGAGGCTCACTGGCAGCTCGCCGACCGCGTGGGCGCCCACGCTCCCAAGTTCGGGGAGACGATCGCGGCCGCGCGGGTCCTCGGGGTCAAAGAGCCTCCAGGAGGCGCTGGAGGACCTCGCCTTGGGGAACTGGGCGCGGCACGCCCCGCCGCCTGGGCAGGCGCGGCTGCGGCCCGTGCCCGAGGCGACGCAGCTGTTTCCTCCGGGTGCGATCCTGGCGATCGACCTCGAGGCGCAGTTGGCTGCAGGGGCTGTGCAGATTTCGCCCGCGCCGAGCACTGGCGACGGCGAGGGCGACGGCGGCTCGGGCCTTTCTGCCTCTGAGCGGAGCCTGGCGGCGGAGTTCGGGGGCAAGACGGGGCAGGACGAGCTGGAGAGCGTGGACGCGGTGTGGGAGAGCGACGTCGCTGTCGAGGTCTGCGTCGCCGAGCCCGCCGCGGAGCCCTGCCATCCCGCGGGGCCACGGGCGCGCCGGCGGTCAGGCGCCCTGCCGTGCCGGTCGCGGCGCACGCCGCTGCGGGGCGGGGCCGTGCCGTACGTCCCCCTCAGCCTGCGGAGCTGCGTGGCGACCGCCGAGTCGGTGGTCGAGGCGTTGGGCTGCGGGCCCCTGGCTCCTGCGGACAGGGTAGGTTGTGCGCCGCTGCCTCCCGTCTTGGGACATGCTAGTGCAGAGCGTGGTGCTAGCGGTCGTGCCAGCGTGGACGGCAGTGCTGATGCCAGCGATGCTGGCTCTTCGAGGCCGTCTACGCGTGGGCCAGTCGAGTATGCCGACGACGTCGTGCCGCACCTGGGCGGTTGCTGCGTCGGCAGCGACGACATCGTGGAGGGGCCCGTGGGAGGCTCGGCCATCGAGCACGCTTTCGGCATGGAGCCCCTGGTCGCGGACTCCGTCGGCTGCACGGCGGGCGATGGCCACGCGGGCTCGGAGTGCGGGTTCGTGTCATTCCTGGACGACTTCTCGGTGGCGGCGGTGGCGCGTGCGGCCCAGGGGCCGAAGTCGGGAGTTGAGTCGCTCCTGGACTGGGCCGAGGCCCGCGCCCTCGGCGTCCGCCTCGGCAGTGCAGGTTGTCCAGATGCCGAGGAGCGTGCGCGGCTCCTCGATGGTCTCTTGGCCCGTGCGCGTTGCACGACGCGGCCCAAGAGTAGTGCGTGAGGCGGGCAGTTGCATTCTGTATGTAGATCTATTCTCGCCGTGTGGCGCGGCCGCGGTGGAGGCCCAGCGCGGCCCCCGCGGGGAGTGGCGGCCCTAGGCGGCCCGTCTCGGGAGGGCGTGTCTCGGGTGGCGCTCGGTGCCCCTGGAGGCCCCTCGGTTCCTTTTCCTTTCCTCCCCTACGCCTTGAAGGCCCCGCCTTTAACTTTAACTTTAACACGCAGGCGCATGGCAGAACACACAGGAGCACGGCATAACACGCGAAACACATAGCACGGCAGAACACGCAGGAGCGCGGCAGTACACTGAGGAGCACGGCAGTGCACATAGGAACACGGCAGAACACAGAGGTGCACGACGTAACCGACGGCAGAACACGTAGGAGCACTGCAGAACACATAGGTGCACTGCAGAAAACGCGGGATCACGAGGGGCACGGCAGAACCCACAGAGTACATAGGAACACGGCAGAACACATTAGAGCATGGCGGTACACTAAGGAGCGCCCCGGAGCCACTTTGGCTCGAGGCCATGGAGCGCCCGACGACCGCAAGTCGTCCGCGGCGTTCCGAGCGCGAGGGTCTCCTCGCTTTGGGCCAGTGCACTTCCTCGTTGTGCTCCCTGTTTTCGCGGCGCGGAGGCGCGGCCTGTCAGCCAGCGCGGCAGGGGCCACGGCGCGCTCCTCGCGGGGTGGCGGCAGCGGCAGCAGGCGCAGCAGGACGTGCTGGATGTGCAGCTGCGGTGGGTGGAACTGGGACTGGCGCACCACGCGCCTTGGCCGTGGGCGCGCCGCCCCGCCATGGGCGCTGGAAGCAGCAGCAGCAGCCAAGGCCAAGCCCCAGGCGGAGAAGGACGGCTGGGCGGATCAGCCGCGCGGGCGCCGTTCCCAGCGGCAGGCCCGCAGCGCTGCAACGAGCGCGGCCACCTCGAAGTCGCAGGCCTCGGCGTCGGGCGACAGTGGGGCGCCCAGCGGCAGCGGCGCCGCGGCGATCGAGAGGCTGCAAGTGGCGGTCGAGCAGCTGGAGGCGCTGCAGGCAGAGCCGCCCGACGGGGTCGATTGCTGCTTCGCCGACGTCGTCGCCAGCCAGCTGGAGGCCTTGCGCGCCGAGCTGGCCGAGGCCCAGCGGGCTGCAGCGGAGCAGAAGGCGTCCCCCATGCCGCTGTCGACGATGCTCCACAAGGAGGCGAACGCCATCAGCAAGGCGGAGAAGCGCCTCCGAGCAGCGCGCCAGAGTCTGGAGCAGAAGCAAGCGGCGCGTGGCCTTGCCGAGGCCCAGCTGCAGAAGGCCCAGGAGGAGCTGGCGCAGCTCGACGCGGAGGTGGAGGAGGCCAGCCGTGCGCCCCACGTCCTCAAGGAGGAAGCCCGAGCGGAGGCCGCTGCGCAGCTGCGGCAGCGCGCGGCCGAGTGGGCAGGAGCCAGCCAGGTCCCAGGGCTCCTCATGCAGCTGGACAAGCTGCCCGAGGCGTGGGGCTCCAGCAACTTCGAGGTGGCGCGGGCGGCCATTCGCTCCCAGGTGGAGGCGGTGCGCGCGCAGCTCGCCGAAGCCCCTGCGGTCCCGAGGAGAGCACCCTGGGCGGAGTCGCGCCGCATGGGCGGGATCAGCAGCGAGAACGGCGACCACGCAGGAGGCTGCAGGCCTTGGCAGGCGCAGTGCGCCGCGGAGCGCGGCCGGGCCGAACGCCGCGGCGACGCACGCGGCGAGTGGCCGAAGGTCGCCCAGGCGTGCAAGCTGGAGCTGGCGGCCGAGGCTGAGGACCTGGCCCCTCTTGCTGCTCGCCCTGCTGGCCGCGCCGCTGGGAGTCGCGGCGGAGGCGAGAGGCCACGGCAGTCGTGCGCGTAGCCACGCCAGTGGCGCTAAGCCTAGGCAGCAGGAGGGCGGCGGCGCCAAAGCGGCCCGCATCGGCGGCAAGCGGCCCCTCGACCTCGGGGGCGCGCAGGCCCCACCAGCGCCAGGCCAAGCTGCGACGGCAGCTCAGGATGTCCGCTGCGGGCTGGAGGAGCCCCGCCTGGCTCTGCACCGCCTGGAGGAGGCCAGAGGAGCAGCGCGGCGCATGGGGTATACGACGTTCCCCCACGCGTCGGCGCCCGCGGACAAGGAGGGCCCGCTGGCGAACTCAGGCGTCGTCGCAGCCTTGAGGCATTGCTTGACTGGAGTCACAGTGTCCACTGCGTCAGGTTTGCAGCTGCGGGCGGGCTCGCTGCACCTCCAGGGCGCCCTGGGACCCGAAGGCTTCAACCTCGACATCTTCGCCGCCTTCGGCGACGCGGTGCTCTACCAGAGACCGCAGTTCATGTCCGTCGTGGGCCTGGCCACCGAGTCGTTCAGCACCAAGGGGGCAGTTTTGGCGGGGTGTGCGCGTGCCACCACTGGCCAAGCTGCCTGTGCTGGCAGCCCTCCGCGCCGCCTCAGCGGGCAGCAGGCCGCTGGCTGTCGCTCGCAACGTCGTCGGCGACATCGCGCTGCAGGCCGTGGGCACGGAGCAGCTGGTGGCCGCGCGGCTCGGCAGCGCTGGGCTGGAAGTGGCTCGCCGCCTCCTCGCTTCGAGCCCCAGCCTAGGACGCCAGCTCGGGGTGTGCTGGAAGCTGCAAGGCTGGACCTTCCGCAAGACCTTGTAGGCCAGGAACCTCGGCACGGACGCCGCCAACACGAGGAGAGGAGTACATGCGGGCCGAGTCCGAGTTGCAGGAGCGCTTCGCCGAGCGCGCAGGCTGGACCCGATCCACAAGGATGGGCCCACGGCCTGCATGGCGTGCGGTCGCACGGTCACGGGCAACGCGGACGGCGAGCTACACAGATGGAGGTTTGCGGCTTGCCGCAGCGCAGGAGCGCCCCCCATGGGTGCGGAGCGAGGGCTGCGCAGGCGCTGTGCCGAGCTCAGGGGGGGGCGCAACCTGGATCCTGCAGCCCTCACGGCAGGCCACGCAGTCCAGATGATGGCGGGCCTGCTGCAGGCAGGCGAGCTGCCGCCCAGGATGATGGAGCGGGGGCTGGAGGCGGCGGCGACCAGGCGCGCAAGAGCTGACACGCCATGGAAGCACTGCGCCTCCCCCTTCGACGCGGTGGTGCTGACCCGTGCGCGGATCGACTGGCACTTCAAGCCCGAGCGGTGCATGGTCACGGACCTTGGCGATGAGCTCGACCTCATGCACCTCGGATCTCGTGAGCTGGGCTTGGAGGCTGGCCTTGGCGCTCGGCGCGCGTCCGTTCGTCGCGAGACGCGGAAGCTCAGACACGACGCCCGCCTGCAACGGCCACCGCACTGGGGCGCCATCGGGCGCCTGCTCGGGCCAGACGGCGGGCCCAGAGTGAGGGGGCAGAACGTGCTCGGGGCCTGCATCTCCAACGCGCACTGGACGCAGGCCAGGCTCCTCGATGCAGGTGAACAGGGGCATGCGCGCTGCTGCTGCTGCGGAGCAGAGAGAGGCACCTTGTGGCACCGCCTGTTCGGCTGCCCCGTGCTCGAGGCCCAGCAGCGCGACGGAGTGTCGGCACGGCTGAAGCAGCGCGCAGAACGAGCGCGGGCCCTAGGCGAGCGCGCAGGCGACAACTTCGGCCGCTGCTGGCTGCCCCCACCAGAGCCACCGCAGGGTCGCCGCACCGACGCCATGTGGGTGCAATGTGTCTGCAGGCCAGCCGATGATAAGCTCAACGGCAAGCTGTACCTCGATGGCTCGGCGCGCGAGCCGCAGTACAGCGCCTTGCGCTGTGAGGCCTGGGCCATTGCGCAGTGCGACGACGACGGCGACCTGGTGGCAGGGGTCTACGGCACCGTCTGGCGCGACCGCTGCCCGCAGCAGACGGCCAAGGACGGCGAGGACTTGGCTGCCTGGATGCTCGCCACCCTTGCGAGGCCAGCAGTGCAGAAAGTCAACATCGGCTTCAGCTCCGCAGTGCCCTGCCTGCGGAGAGGGCGCGTGTACGCCACCGCGCCCAGCAGGGCGAACGCCCGCCTATGGGGCAGGATTCTGGCAGCCTTCGAGCCAGGCGCTTTCGAGGTGAAGAAGGTGCCAGCCCCCTGTTCGAGGCAGGCAGTGCTCGACGGGCTCCTGACGGAGGCCCAGAGGCGCGGCAACGAGCACGCCGACCGCCTCGCCGAGATGGGCGCCCAGACGCATGCAGTGGACAGGCTGACGGTTGGCGTGCACCAGGCGCTGGCGGAGATCGCGCAGGAGCTCGGGCGCTGGATCTGGTGGGCCGCCATCGTCGGGCAAGGCATCGAGGCCAGGGGCCGCGAAGGGCCCCCTCCTGCTGCTGCGCGGCGCCAGGCGCGTTTCGCTGGCGCCGAGGTGTCTCAGGCAGCGGAGAACGCCACGGGCGAGGGGCCGATGGCCAAGCGGCGACGCCTGGAGAGCGCCCGCTCGACAGGCAGCAGCTCGGCAGCCCTTTCGGCCAGTGCAGTGGCCTTCAGCATCCTGGGACATGCCCTGTCCTATGCCTGCGCTGGAGAAGGTGAGGGCACCCAGGAGCTCGTGGCATGCTCCAAGCGCGGCGCCTACATGACGCTGGGCGGCCGCTCAGGGGTTAGGCCTCGCGACAAGGAGCGGTGCCCAGGCGACAGGATCGACGAGGGCGGCAGGAACCAGCGCAGCCTGTGGCTACGAGGGCTCCATCCAGGAGGCAGGAGGCAGGAGGGGTCACGAGCTGCCAGGCGCAGAGCGAAAGGAGAGGGCACCCCTGCGCTGCGCTCGCAGGGTCCAGCGCCTGAGCACGCGCAGGAGCGGTACCTGGAGTGGCTTGGCACTGCAGCGGAGCCAGCTGTAGACTCCTCGACCGCTGCGAGCAGTGCAGGCAACGCCCCAGCGGCAGCTGCGGAGCCGCAAGTGGCAGCGGGCCCAGGAGAGGCCCCAGCGGATGCGACCGTCGCTGCGGCCGCTGCCAGCCGGCCCTTGCGGCGCCCAGCCGCAGCGAGAGCTGGGCGCCTCGGTGGTTTCGGGGTCACCGAGGAGGAGCTCGCCGCCGCTGCCGGCGCTGCAGGCGACGCCCTGGAGGACCGCAGGGTGCGCCGCCGCATGGTGCGCCGTGGCGGCCCGACCGTGAGTGAGTGAAGGATTGGCATCGCTGTGGCTCGCGCCAGCTGCTCCCTGTGGTGAGCAGGCTTCCGCCGCCCTCGGTGCTCGCGTGGGGTTCGGCGTCTCTCGGGAACGCGGGTCCCGTCTGGCCCTGTCCGTGTTTGTCTTTGTCACCTTTGCCTTGAAGGCCCCGTCTTTAACTTTAACTACACTAAGGAGCGCGGCAGATCACACAAAACACCTAGGAGCACGGCACAACAAGTAGCAACACAGCAGAACACACAGGAGCATGGCAGAACACATATGAGCACGGCAAAGCAGGACCATGGCAGAATGCACAGGAGCACGGCAGAACACACAGCAACATGGCAGAACACATAAGAGCACGGCAGAACACATATAACATCGATTCATACAGCCGCACCTGCAGGCACACGCACATAGGCACACGCACACAGGCACACGCACACGCTCACGCACACGCACACAGACATACACACACACACGCACACACACACGCACACACACAGAGGCGACATACGGTCACGCAGACCGCAGGAGCACGGCAGAGCAGGGCATGACACAGCAGTGCCGCTGACAACCACGCACGGACACACATGCACATATTCCACGCACGCACGCGCACGCGCAAACGCACGCACGCCACGACATATCTGCGCGGCGAACCAACAAAAGAGCAGACTTCACAAGCGACGCTTCCCGTTTTTGTCCGGTCAGGTTTTGGCGGCTTTCGGCGGTCTTCCAGGAGGCCCACGGGATCGCCCGAAGGCCGATTGGGAACAGTCAAAAAGAACAAAAACTATGGACAATCAAGCACGCCGTGCACCCTTGTGGCAATCCAACAAGGGGCGGTGGAGTCTCTAGTAGCCCATCCCGCTACTGTGAAGTCGGGCATGTCCCGCTACAGTAGGAAATCCAATCGTGGTAAAAAATAGTATGGTGACGATTTGTTGTGTTTTTTCTTGTGACTGGTCTGGATTATGTGTCGACTATGTTTTACTTTGTCTTCCAAGATCCGCCTTTCGGAGGACTTGCTCGACTGACGGTGGCGAAGCCCTCTTGGATTATCTGGGGGCCCGGTCAAGTCCTGTTGAATCGATTTAGCCCAGAAAGTTTGGAGCGGAACATGTTGGAAACATGATGTTTCCAAATCTTTAATTTCTCTCGGCGCATCCCCCCACCGTACCTGGGCTCTGGATGAATGGCATCTTGGGATGCCTCTCGGGTGCATTTTCGCGGCCTCTCGGTGCCGTCTTGAGCGCATGGGGGGCTTCGGTGTTTTGGGTGCCATCCTGTGGGGCAACGGTCTCAAGGCTCCTTCGCTTTCCCGCTCTTGGCCCCCTCTTGGCGCCCTTTGGGGGATTGGGCCGTCTTGGGGGCCTCCTCTTTGCAGCGCCCTGAGGCCCTCTTTGGGGCCTCTCGGGCATTCTTGGGCGATCTTCGGGGTCCCTTGGACCTTTCTGAGGGCCCTGAAGCTCGAAAGCGCGAGTGCCCCTAAATCGCTGAATAACTGATGCACATTATGAGTTTGGCCTCTTGGCTGTGTCTCGATGACCTCCTCGGCCGTCTTGAGGCCATCTTGGGCCGTATCAGAGCGTTCTTAGGTTGTATATTGGCCTCCTGGACTGTCTTGGGGGCTTTTTAGGAGCCTCTTGGTCAGCCTTGGAGCTATCTGACTTCCGGAAAAGTCACGCGACAAAGCCCAGGAGTCATGCGCCACGCCCCAGCACATCTGTGAATTCGGGGTATGGGCTTTTAGAAGAGTGCCAAACAAAGGGATACCGACGGGACCGCAGAACATTCCACGCAATAGTTTCTGGTTGTTCAGGGGACAACTATGCGTCACTGCTACCGTGTGAACGGGATTGGTTGCACGCCGATGCAATCTTAAGGCCAGAGGTGGTCATGCATGTCGCCTTGTATATGGGAGGTTACCTCCACATGTGTTATGTTTCTGTACTGCTGCTTGACAGAGGTAATCGCTAGGCGACGGGAAACTAAGTACATACCAACATAGCGAATAACGTAGGCATAGTTTGGCGCTGATCGCCGTGCAACCTCGATAGAACTTCTACGGACGCCGACTGCATTACACTTGGGATTGATTCCACCTGTCCCCGCGGAATCAGCTTGTTCCATTGCTGAGGATCTCAAGGAGCAGGTCTACGCTGGTGCGGACAAGGCTCCCCCCCGGCGACACTCGACTCGTTCTTCCGAACGCTTGTGGAATCCAATGTGATGCCACGGGAGCGTTGCACCTTGCATGCCATTTCTGGCATGCTTCCCCGTTGGCGTAACTGGGCGGCGAGCGAGGGGGGGGAGGCGAGAAGGAGAGGGCTTTCTCAGAAGGCGGCTCGGTTTCTCAGACGGCCTCGGGCCTCCTGGGAGTTTTTTTTGGTTGCGCCTTCGGGGAAGGCTCCGACAGTTTCTCAAGGACTCTGGACTTCCGTGCCTCCTGAGCAGGCATCCTTTTTCTTATTTCCCCCCTCGCTCGCCGCCGAGAAAAGGAGGAGGAGGAGGAGGAGGAAAGGGAGGAGGAGGAGGAGGAGGAGGAGGAGGGGGAGGGGGAGGAGGAGGAGGGGGAGGAGGAGGAGGAGGGGGAGGAGGAGGAGGAGGGGGAGGAATTAACGACGTGAGGGGCGTCTCGCGCGTTCCATGCCGACGTTAATTTGGTTTGCCGTGTACATGACGGGAGGCGGAGCATAATTGGCGCGTGAACGACACACGTGCAGAAGTGGAGAATTCTGCGTCACACGCTTGCCAACGGACTGACGATGGTGATGTATAACGTTGTTCAGAGTAGGGAAAGGTACCCATACGGCTACCCTTCCCTTGTTTCCGCCGTTTTGGGCCTCATGGGATGCCCTCGTCCCCACTGCTGGATTCGCCTCGGAATTCTGGTCAGAACGCACCCCAGGAGAGGTCCAGGGAGTAGCGGTATCGGTACCTCTTGATTCCCCCAGTTGTTAGTTGAGAGATAGTGCCGATTTATCGTGTCCGATTCTCTTGTCTATCTCGTCTATCTCGTCTTCATACAGCAGCTGCTGCCTCTCGCATTCGAATATGTTCGAGTCGAGTCAGTTGCATGCTTGTTCCAATTTGCGTTTGGCTTTCGTAGCGTTGTCGTCCGTACAGGCCAAAACGAGAAAGTCGGTGGGGCGAACAACACCAGAGAGAGAGAGAGAGAGAGAGCGAAAAACAGAGAGAGTGAGCGAACAAAACAATGAATACTCATATCGAAGACGCCTACGGCGAAGCACCTCCGCGCCTTGCTTTTGTAGAAACGCCTATTTGGCGAAGCTTTGGGTCCAGTGCTTGGACAAGCAGTCTGACCACGGGTTCCCCTGGCCGTTGTGGAACCCCTTCGGGGAACACGTTGGCGCGAACGAAGAAGACGACAGGTCTCTCAGGGCTTTTCGGGAGGTTCTCTCGGAGCCGTCGCGGGCAGCCTTGGAGGATTCTTCAGGGTCTTTGGGGCAGTGTTCGGGCATCTTGGGGCCGTCTGGGTCGATGTTGGGGCCGTCATGGGCTGTCGTGGATAAGTATTGGGCCGTCTTGGGAGCTCATTTGATCTCTGCCACCGGCAGCTCAATGAGAAAGGCAGAGGAGGCATCGCGGGGGGCTTTTTTTTCAAACGCCTATGTGGCCGAATGTTGTGGCCAGAGCTAGACCAAGCTACCAGACTATATGACTAAATGTTTCCCCAGCCGTTGTGGAAACCGTTCAGGGAACACATGAATGAGAACGGGAAGACGAGAAGAGGGCGAACATCGGAGAAGGAGGAGTAGGAGGTGGCGAATGCGGAGTGGTATTGGGAGCCTCTTGGGGCACTCTTGGAATCTACTTGGAGCTTCCTGAAGTCTTCTTGGAGGCATCTTGGGGGCCTCCTTGGGTCTCTTTGGGGCCTTTGCGAGCTTCTTGGGGTCCTCTGTGACGTCTTAGGGCTTTCCTAGCCCATGGGACGCCGTCGGGAACCGTCTCGGGAGCCTCTCTGAACCGATTGTGGGCCCTCTTGCTGCGCTTCAGGGCCGTCTTGGAGGCCGTCTTGACCGTTTGGGAAACCACTTGGGCCGCCTTGGGGCCTCGCGAAGGGGATAGGAGATTTTGAAGTGCCTCGGAAAAAGTGTTGTCGAGACTTCCTCGGGCGGGAGATCAGGGAGAGGGAATATCGTACCCCCGTGCGCAAGTAAAATGTCCCCGATGAGGGGGGGGATATCGTGATGGACGCATGCTGCATCTAGAAGCGTCGAGCAATCGGGTAACATGATTATTGTTGATGCGGTTGTTGTTGTTGTTGTGGTAGCTGTTGATGTTGTTGTTGTTGTTGTTGTTGTTGTTGTTGTGGTTGTTGTTGTTGTTGTTGACGTTGGTGGTGGTGGTGGTGGTGGTGTTGGTGTTTGTATTGGTGTTGTTGCTGATGGTCTTGTTGTTGGTGTTGGTGATGGTGTGTTGTTGTTGTTGTTGTTGTTGTTGTTGTTGTTGTTGGTGTTGTTGTTGTTGTTGTTGTTGTTGTTGAACATTATTACTTCTAAAGAATAATTAGTGTTGGGGCCCCTGGTGCACGACCCCCCCGCCGCGCCTAGGCCGCAGCCTCATTTTCATCATTTTCGTGAGGAAGTCTCAGGCAAAACGGGGGAGTCCGGATCCGGTTGTGTTGTTACGATCGGTTTTCCCTTGCAAAAAATAAGCTAAAGTGGACATTTCTTGTTCTAACATAACCAAACTTCAAGAATCCCTTGCAAAAAATAAGGTAAAGTGGACATTCGCGCGCGCAAGACGAAATCCTTCCAAAACCTTAGTTTTCGTAGCGATTTTAACATAAAAACATCAAAAAACCAATGGTTTTTCAAAAAAAATGTCAAAATTCATCCCGCGCGCTCTTGCGGATTCGTAGGAAACCCAACACTTTTTAAACATTTCTGTCAAACGGGCTTTTGCGAGCAACTTTTTCGAACTTCTGCAACAACGGTTGCGCACCTGCCAGGGCCATCATCCCTGTCAAATAATACCATGCG